ATAAGCGCCATTTGTGCTGCGTCCATCCCGAGTGGTATCTCTGCATCTTCTTCATTTGGCCCTTCCTCCTCATCTTCTTCGTCCCATTCGTCGTCTTCATTTTCAGCCTCGCCATCGGAGCCCATGAACTCATCATCGCTCGTTTCGCACAGCTGATCCGGATCCACGTCGACAATGACGCAACCTTCTTCTCCCTCCTTAAACTCAAATACACCCGGATTGCCATTTAACCCTGGTCGATACTTGGCGTCTAGGGAAATGATGTTCTTTAAATCCTGCTGCAGACCGTTTTCACGTTGTTGCATGGAAAGGCGTTGCTCATAGAAGTCCTTCAACATTTCCAAACAACTCTCGCAAATGCGTTCCGGCAAGAATTCATGGCGATTGTACTTTATACCCCAAACACTTTCGCACACATCAGCAATCAGCAGCTTTTCGCTTTCATTGTCGGAATTTTCTTTGCTAAACTCCACAGATGCTTCATAGATGTTTGGCGATTCTTTTGTCAGCGTTGAACGGGAGTGGCATAGACGACATGGCATTGATTCTGTGGCACAAATTCCATCAGGTTTTTTATCCCCGGCAGGAGATCCTGCCTCTTCTATGCCTAGATTTAGCATTTTTATCACTTTGTTATGACTAACGAGCGGCAACGCGAATTATAATATGTAACATAACTGCAAGCATTTTCAGAGTGGCGTGCGGCTTTTAACAGAAACCAAGCCATGTTCCGCGATATATCAGCCCTGGTACGTAAATTTGCATGTCCTAAAAGTATTTGTTTGATTTAAGCTTGCTAAACCTTATAAATATTGAGTTCATACATTGTAAATATGATCACGTTTTAAAAGAAATTTCTTTAAATTTCTTTATAAAAAACACTAATCATATGTACATGTAACATTGTTACTGATAAAAATAAACTCTTAACAGTGCTAAATGAGTAAGTCCATCGGCTTGCACTATCGATAAATGCAAGCAAGTGTGGCAACTTTGAGCAACCGATAATACCTCAAATTATGTGTCGTATATCGAAATACACTCAATGATAACGCTCCATTTGAATTTCCATTCAATGTGAAAACTTGCGGTCTTTTAAATCAGTACGCTGCTGATATATGTATAGATATAGATTTCAGGATACATTGAAATAAAAAGCGAAATATTAAAGAGAAAAGTATGCTAGCATTATAGGTCGAATATATTATATTTTATAACGACAGTAACGCATGTTTATTTTTACAAACATTCGTAAGTACGGAATTTATTAAATTAAAACTGTCAACAAATGTCCAGGTATTTAGAAATAAATGTGTGCATGTGGGAGTAAATGTATGCAAAACATACACTACGCATATTCTCTTAAATTGTTGTCTCTATCTCCCTCATACAACTGCTTTGGGGTTGTCGGCTTCAACGGTAGGACGAGGGCTGGCTTAGCTTCTCTTTGCGTATGAGAGTGTACAATACAATATATCGAGATGGTCGCGTGACGAAAACATTTTAATTATTTCAACACTTGTTGAATACAATATTATTTAATGCGCTTAGAAAAATATATGTTCAATAATTAACAAAAAACAGAGTTAGGAAGTTGTAACATGTGGAGAGTAATTACCGAAATTTGTTCGGATTAATGTCTGCGCTTTCTTTGCAGTCAATATAAGCCTTTAGATTGCACAAGTCGTATAATTGGGCACGAGCACGAAGGTCACGCACACGCCTCTACTTTCCACAATTGCGCGCGCACACACACATTGAAAAATATTATAGAGAATGCGAAAGCTTATTTAATTCACTAGTCGTTTACTGGCATTTGAATAACACAAGTGTTTGTGAGAAGTTGTATTGGATGGCAGGCAACACGATCATATAGTTACCGGTCGGTCTTATTATTAATTGCCTCTTAAGGGTAAACCAAGTACCAAGTGGCTAAATTTTAAACTGTTCTCAGGGCTCGCGTGACATGTGAATTGCTGTTAAAGTTTTAGTTGTAAAGCATTGTGTTCAATTACAGTTTGCGTCGATAGAAAACAATTGGAACAGCAACGGCAAATGCCGACATCGGACATCAGCAGCTACAAGTAAAAGCAAAACCAACAACAATAGCAGTTAGCAGAAGCAGCAGGTGATAATCCACAGTGGACGGTTTTTGTATTTAGTCAGCTGCAGAATCTAAAAACAGAGTAAGTGGAAATGTCATTAGTGATTCCCATCTGTGAAAGTGTTTTTCTAGTTAATGTTCGTTAAACATATTAGCGATCACCTACGTACATATATACGTGTGTATGTGTGTGTACTCGAAAGTTCCAAGTATCCTGGCAAAAACAATTGGTTTATTGCGCACTAATTTTGTCTTGTGCTTAGCCAATGCGTATGTCGTCATGTGCTACATTCCCCTGCACTGTCTCTCCCTTGCTAGCTACCTCCTTTACCGTTCAATGTCCTTAGCGGCTGTAGATTTGTTTCGTGTGCTGCTGACCTACCTACCCTGTAGCGCCAGCAGCGACTCGCAGTTGAAATGAGCCCAACCGTATGAACGCTTTAAATTTGATGTAATGCAAAACATTGTTTCTTTAAAGCAGTGTACCGTGGTTTGTTCATAGGTACGCACATATGAAGAGCTACTATATAGGAGGGAAGCTAATTTCCCTTGAATGTACATTCCACTGGTTCATTTGAGCTGGAAGACACTGCATGCACGCAGTTATATTTTAAGCCTCGGCCTTGTCATTATTTATTCCCACTGTCTCAACAAATACTTAGGGCATTCAATTTATTATTTATTTTGCGTGCTATAATTTTATTTAATTAGGTGAAATCGAGTGAATTATTAATATATGTATATAGTTGAGTTGAGCATGTAAAGTATAAAAGAGTTCGACAGACACTTGTTAGTCAAAGGATTAAACAATGATGCCATTCTGGGATTGTTAAAGCATTATTATTCGTAAAAGATACTGGCATTTTTTAGAATATTATTAATAAGTTCGTATTACTATGTTAGTATAATTAAAATATGCATACATAAAATACTATGGGGAAAACGAGTATATCAATATACAATTATCAGTAAAAATGTGACCTTCAAACATATGTATGTATTTATATTTTTTTAAAATCACCTGATATCTCTATTCTCTAAACTACTCTCTACTAAAATCTATTTTATTGCTAATATAGTCTTTATTTAAGTATTATTAAAGTTATATTACTTGTATATTTTTCTCTGATGTGTCAGATGATTTTTTTCGTAGAATCAACCATGGTATATTCTCCCTAAATAGATAAAACTTTTTCAGCATAATACAGCATAAAATTGCATTATTCGAAATGTGAACAGTCTGGGATAAGTCTAATGTGTACAGAGAATAATAATTTGATGCTTTGTTGAAAGTAAACATGTCACCCGATCCGAGACTAATCTAAAAATAAGCGTGTTTAGCTGTGCAAAACAAGGAGCCAATTAAAATCATTATATTTAAAATTTTCCAGACTCTAGACGGTTAAAATGAATCAGTCTCATCTGACTGCGTCAATACATTCTTCCACATTTTTTGTGTACACCAGCTGACGATCTCGTGCTTCCTAAATGACAAAGCTACGTTGACTCCGAACTTAGAAATTGTTTGTAAATATGTATTTGACAAATTGGTGCTGAGTGCCTTATTATTAGGCAGTATTTTTATAAATATGTGCATGTTCATATATATGTACATATGCATGCACAAGAACATACATACATTAGATTGAATCACGCCATAATCTTATCATTACGTTGCTTTGAGTAAATGAAATTTGATGCGACCTCTGATTTATAGCAGGGCGTTTTCCATTTATTGTGATTCAAACACTACTTATTCGACCGGAAGTTTTTTGACCCAATTTAAATGGCTAATAGTGTAAGCATAGATAACACGAGAATTTTTTTTTTAACGTATTACTAGACTTTTCTCAAGCTCTATTGCCCATACAATTTTGTTTATTAATTAATATTATATTTTAGTGTCGTGTCATTACGTGACGTGCGCACGAGTGTCCAACACGCGCCCATCTCTTTGTTGCTATAGAGACAAAAAGACCATGAACACATTTACCGTTTCGATCGTTAAATGTATGAGGACAACAACATAGAGATTACACTAAAATAGAAGTTCGAGTACCATTCGAAACATATAAAAATCAAGCCAACTTAATCAATTTAAGCTACTTTGATATTAATAAATCGAATATGAGGGTATACTTACTGATTAAATTATCAAATAAAATCAAAGTTGCTTATTTGGTCTTTTCTGTGTTAAATGAATATTATTATATTATTAGGAAAACTTAAAAATTTTTTAAAATCTGAAATTCTGGTTGCATTCTTCTAGCATCATATCAAGCTACCTAAAGTGCCTAAAGTGACCCAATAAACAAATCTTAATCTATAAAGAATGCAAGGAAAACAGAACCCCTGCGAAGTTTATGAATGCTAAACAAAGCTAGCATAATTTTAGATTATAAATAAAAAGTTTATCATTTTATTGATTAGATGTACTTCTGACCTATGGAAGCTATACATGTGATTACACGATAATAGCCCAAAATAAATAAATATTCTCCAATACTAATTAGAAGGGTAATTAATTTCAATGTACGCCTTGGTTCAAACTTTCTAGTTCAGAAGGCTTAGGCAAAAAGTGAGGAGAGAACAGATAGGAAAGAAAACAGGAATACAAATATGCAAAGCTCGTTTTAAGCTCCTAAATGCATTTAAATAAGTGTAATTTATTTAAAGAGTATTCCTTTGGGGGTAATGCTCTACATGTCGACATGTCGAAATCTAATGAGACATATGAGCTCAATATCAAAGTTCAGCGCCCTAATCCAACTCGCCATTAAATTCGTAATTTCTGATAAGCTCTTTGCGATTAATCAGCGTGTATTTTGCTGTTAAAGGCTTTACCTGAAATGATATAGACTCTTAGTTCTGTGCGGTGCTACGACTATTTAGGACGTGCCTAGGCGGAGGCTAAACAGAAATTGCGGAGCAGACTCTCTAATAACTCCGTTTCGTTACAGCTAGTTGCCAAGAGGGCACAGAGGTCCATAAAGCGGTACGACCAAAGACGATATTGAATAAGCAATTGTTTTATAAAGAGTGTATAGGCATAGTATATATACATACATAGATGTTTACATAGACACCTGTGTTGCCAGGTAATTTCTTATCTGGTAGCAGAAGTGTTTCAAATCGATTTAGCTACCAAAGATATCATTTTGTTTTCTAGTAATTAACTGTGTACGAATTGACGCATACTTCGACATTAATTGGATATTGCAGACCGGCAAATCAATCGAAATGAAACCTTCAATGTTATTAGATTTTATATAGACATTAGCAGGAAAAAAATCAATAATAATGTTTATTATTGATTCACAGGTATCTTTATTGCGAGACAGTTTGTCATTGTTGTTCCCCTTTTCATGAACATAACTCAGTGAAATATTCTACATTTAATAAATAATAGCATTTCCAACTTAGGCAAAAAAATATATATTTATATGTTGTATATATGAAGGAGACATTTTATACCCCGCAAGGGTTCAGGGTATAAATAGTATGAAATGTGACTGCCCTAGTCGTGAAGAGAACTATGGAGCATGAAGAAGAACTACAGAAGATCTATTAAGTTGTCTTTGGAGCAGTTCTTATTTGGTATTTATATTTGAGTAAAACGCAGCTAGAACATTTAAAGCTCGACTGCAACGACCCCTTCCTAGTGTCGGGTTCAACATTTGAGAGCGTCTTAGGCTCAGAGTGAAAGTCGCCCTATACAAAGGGCAGCAGCTGCTGCATTTTTTCAGTCTCTCAGGCCTAGTGGGGTCAGTCGTACAGTGCAATAAAGTGAAGTGACGTGAAGTTTGTGAACGTTAAGCAAGGCATTAAATATGAATAAAATATGAATATGCTTCGAGAAAAGACTTGGAAGAAATGTGTGATCGCTCAGCTAAACATTAAAGACATAGAGGAAATACTTAGATGATATATTTGGAGAAAATATGTTCAGCTAAGCATTGAAAATTTATAGGAAAAAATTAAGGTCTTTAGTCAATTGCAACAAAATGGGAGAATATGATTGTGGAAACATACGACTCTTTCTGCCTGTTACATATATTTAACAGGACCATTAAACCTTGATGTCCTATTTTCAATGGGTTAAATGTAATTAAATTTCATTTTTAATAATAATGAAAAAATAGAAATGGAAAAATTAAGTGGATATATTTCGCTAACTATTTAGATGCTTGTCATGACCTCGTTAGTCGACTTAGTTTTTGTTTTCATAAATTTGAATATTTAAATATAATTAAATAATATCCTTGTGGTATACTATCAAAATTTTGCAGTATCACTGGAAAAAGTCAGCCTCAGCTTAAACCTACGTCATGGCTTGCACCTGTGAAGTGATTGGCCTGGCCTGCGTCGTTGCGCTTATCTTGAGTGTTGCGGCCAAGGCACCCTATCAGATGCGGATGTTTATTGTAATGTTCGGAGCTGGTGTGATTGTGTTGCTCTGCATGCCCTTCATGATACTGCGACCGAGGGACTATCGAAATGGACTGTAAGTTAAGAGCTGCATAGCTTTACATCTGTTTCGTGTCTAATGCTTACTTCTTCCGTCAGAGCACCCTCCTGGTTCTTTAGACAGCTGTGCAAGCTAATGGGCATCACCATGGAAGTGCGTGGTGTGGAGAACGTGAGAAGGGAACATGGCAGTGTTGTGCTTATGAACCATCAAAGCGCTCTGGATCTGTGCGTGCTGGCTTACCTGTGGCCAGTGATAGGACGGCCCACTGTGGTGGCCAAAAAGGAAATTCTATACATGCCTTTCTTTGGCGTTGGCGCCTGGCTCTGGGGCACTTTGTACATCAACAGATCACGCAAGAGTGATTCAATAAATTCGTTGCAAAAGGAGGCGATTGCTATACGCGAGCGGAATTGTAAGATCTTAGTGTTTCCGGAGGGCACTCGAAACTCCAAAGATACTCTGCTGCCCTTCAAAAAAGGTTCTTTCCACATTGCGATTCAAAGCAAGTGCACGATACAGCCTGTGGTTGTATCGAAATACTCATTCTATGATGAGGAAAAGAAAAGCTTCCGACCAGGCCATGTTATCATACAAATTCTGCCCGAGATATCAACGGAGGGCTATGAAAAGGAAGATATGGATAAACTGATCGAACTTTGCCGCTCCACCATGCAACAGGAATTAACAAGGTTGAGTAAAGATCAGGTTGCTGTGAACTCAAAAAAACAGTCATAAATATATATATATATATATATATATATATATATATATATACTATAATGTAAAACTCAGGTTATATATACAAATTGTCGGTATTTAATGAAACGACACAAAATGCTTAATATTCTGGAAAAACATGTGTAGATATGTGACAGACTTCAGTTAATGTATTATGATATAGATAAGTTTAATGAGTAACTATAATACAAGTACTGTTTTAGAATATTTTTGAATAATTTTATTGTTAGTGCATTTTACATGCATAGTTATTTGCAGAACAGATTTTATGCCAATGCCAAACGATAAAACAAAATCCTAACTCTCGATAATTTCTTTTTAATAATATTACCTACATAAACTAAGAAAAATTTAATTCACACAGTGGAAGAACAATGAACAAAAAATTGAATAAATCATGCGAAACAAATATTTCTGACTACGTACTTATAAAATCGAGTTTTCGAATTATTATCTTTGTAAACTACTTACTTCACTACGACATTGTTTTATGAAAAAATCTTTATGTGAAATATATGGTGACTACCTATTAAACCGATTTACTTCATCTTTATTTAAGGCAGTTTTTTTTGGGGACAATGCACGTTTTACGAAGGTAGGACATTTTTATATTTTAACATATTTTTCGTTTCAGAAATAAGTATTTTTACTCTCCAATATATATTACATATAAATCTTAATTAAAAAAACAGAAAAAGCGGACACCACGCATTTTACTATTTAAATGTGCGAATCTGCCGCCGATAAGCGCAACAGGTTTTCGATGAATTTGTAGTGCTGTCGGTCGTTCCTCAGCGATAAGTGATATCGATTATTCAAAGCTTCAAACAAGCAGCTGATTTTGTTGACCATCGCGAGCCAAATAATTCAGTTTAAAGTAAGCTTGAAATTAACTGCAATTTTATAATATTCCAATGGTTTTCAAATAATTGAGACCAACAAATCAACGAGTTCGCCGTGAGTAAAAAAATAAAATGAAATTCATTAAAATTTACTTCTGAGACAATTATTAATATTCAGAAAGCGCCGGAATTATAGGGAATTATAAACTGTGTACAAAATGGAAGCTGTGGAAATTAAAACTGAGCTTGAAGATGATAGCGAATGGAGCAGTCAGCCAGAGCCGCACATGGAGCACAAACAAGACTCGGAATCAGAGAATACAGTGGAAATCGAATTCAAGTCGGAAATTGACATAGAGCCTACGATTGTGGGTGAATCTATTAAACTTTATGACATTGAAAGGCTGCGCGAATTCGGTGATGTGCCCTTCGTAATAAAGCGCATGGAGCCTCAGGAATTCTCCATTAGCTATCGCAAAGCCGTCACTAGCGTTGAGTCAATTTTGGAGCGACTGCGTCGCAACCGAGTTCCAAATGGAGTCGGCATTGCATTTCGCATCGCAAGTCATACACCTTCGTCATGCATTTTGATTCTTGCGTGAGTTTGAGACTGCGAATCGTACTCGCTGCAATTCCGTTAATCATCCACTTAACTTCTAGCATACTGAATCACAAATGTCATTTCTATTGCAACGACAAAATGATGCTGTCCAAGGCCTTGCACACGCAGATGTGCCGGGCTGGCATTGATTACCTGATTGTTAACGGACACATGCCCGTTGGTGCTGTCTACTTTCAAAGTCTTGACAACTTTGTCGTGTTCAACGAGGAGTACAAACTCTTTAAATTGAAGCATACATCCGGCGATGCTGCGCCCCAGGCAAAGGCTTCACTGCCTTCCAATATGTGCTATACGATTACTACTACTGGAACCACTGGGGAGCCGAAATTAATTCATGTACCTTATGAGTGCATTGCACCAAATATATTGGGACTCAGGTGAGCTAACGAAAAGGGTCTAAGGGTCTTTCAGATAACCTAATATTATTATAACCAATTCTATCTCTCTATATAACACGTAGTCAAAAACTAAATATATCAATGGCTGACATAATTTACCTTGGCACACCTTGCACATTTGATCCCTCGGTTGTGGAGCTCTTCTTGGCTATGCAAAATGGGGCTGCTGTCCTGCTCACTCATTACTCGATGCGCGAGTCTCCTAAGCGCGTTCTCAACGCCCTCTTTCCGACAAATGTGACCACGCCCGGGATAACCGTGCTGCAAATGACGCCCTCGCTCTTTCGGCAGTTCGGTGCGAATGCAATACGGGAGAGGATATTAAACAGTTCCAGTACTCTCAGGTAGGTGCTGGCGCCATACTCATTTGTCAATCCACCTAATCAAAGGATCCATTAAAGTGCGCTGTAATTTTAGAGTGCTATTACTTGGCGGCGAACCGTTCCCATCCAGCGCAGAGCTGACCACCTGGATGGACTCGCAGGTGCTACTCCAAAAACAAGTCTGTAACATCTATGGTATTACGGAGGTGTCGTGTTGGAGCCTGATGCACGTTCTACAGTCTCTGCACTCACGCGTACCTTTGGGCACGCCCATCGACGATCAGACTGTTCTGCGTGTCCATCTTCAGTCGAAAAGAAACATTCCGAATGCAGTCTGTGGCGAGCTTTGGCTTGGCAGCGCCACACGTCGCTGCTACATACCAGAAATTGATGATCTAGAAAATCAGAGGAATAAGAAGGATAAAGCTTCCTCTGTCTGCTATCGTGCGACGGGGGATATCGTGCGACGGTTTGACGACGGGTCAATAGTCTTTGAAGAACGCGCCAATGATATAGTTAAACGAGCCGGAACACGGATCAGCCTGGGTATAGCAAATAGAATTTTCGATTTAATGAGATATACGAATTTACTAATCGCCTCCTTTGTAGGGCTCATCACGCGCAAGATAGAGCAATGCTTGCATCACAGCGAGCTGACTACATGTCTATGGCTCGATGAACTCCAGAAACTTATCTGTTGTATTCGAAGTCTTGAGCCTAAGACGAAGATACAGCAGAGAGCGCAGACTTTTGATATACTGTCCAAGTTAATGACTGCTGAACAACCGGACAGATTCGTTTACTTGCAATACTTTCCATGCAATGTACACGGCAAGTTGGACAAGATGCTGCTGCTCAAAGAGTGTGCGCTGCTAGCGCAGCCCGCTCAAGACATACTCAGAAGCTTTCTGCACGACAGGCTTGAGTGCGTAGACACTCAAAACGAACGAAGTCAGAAGAAACAGCGACTGGAGCCGGCAGGCTCGCAATCCAATCTCAGCGGATATGATCTGAGCTTTCGTCATGCTGGCGGCAGCTCGTTTCATGCCATCACTCTGTGTCGCGAAATTGGTTTGCAGATGTGCATTGACGACGAGCAGCGACATCTTTTTGAAATGCTGCTAGACGAAAATGTATCGCTCCGCAGCATTTTGCAGTTCCTAGATGGGGCTAAGCTAGTGACCCACAATACCAAACTGAAACCCATCGAGCCACCGGCAAGCTCTGCTGTGAGCGCAACTGAGGGCAACAGCACAATCAGTGGCGGCTTGGTCATCACTCGCGTCGTTAAGCCGGCTCTGCATTTTAAGTGCCACTGGAAGAAAAACTTCAGCAAGTGCGTCGATTCACCGGTAGCACAGTATGAGAGCCGATACGTGTGCGTGGGCGCCCATTCGAAGTTGCTGCGCACCCTCGATGCAGTGACGGGAAAGGAATACAGCACAATTAAGCTACCTGATCGCATTGAGTGCAAGGTTACATTCGTTAGCGAGCAGCTGGCCATGGTTGGATGCTATGATGGCTGTCTCTATGGCTTCAATCCGTTGACTGGCGATCTCTTGTGGAACGTCGATATCGGGGGCATGATTAAATCACAGCCCTTCCTATCATCGGATGGAGAGCGCATTGTAGTCTGCAGCTATGCGGAAGACTACAATGTCCTCTGCCTCTCAACCGAACATCAACAGGTGCTCTGGTGCATGCGCATAGGAGAAAAGGCCATTTTCGCCTCCCCACTCGAGTTGAGCAAGCAACAAGCTGTGATAATTTGTACGTTAGATGGTGGATATGCGTGTGTCTCACTCCTGGATGGCTCCGTCAAGTGGATGCAGAAATGCAAAGAGCCCTTTTTCGCTTCCCCCGTCCTGCTGGACTCGAGTGCCACGATTTTTGTCTGCGCTGAGGTAGCTGGACGGGTGCACGGCTGTGATGTAAATAGCGGGAAAATTGTAAGCCCATGAAAATATATGTCTATACTATATAAATACACATTTTTAAATTTTTACATATATTCCTTTCAGTTGGCCACATATGCAGCTGATGGCAACATATTCTCTTCGCTGGTAGTTAAGGCCCCGCCCACTCACATGGGCCACACATTCGTGGTGTTTGGCTGCATCGATCACCATTTGTACTGCTTGCGCTGCAAGACGGACGCGTCCAAGCACGCCTCGTTTGAGCTTCATTGGAAGGTCGATGTGGGCAGCTCCATATACGCCACGCCCATCATACTAACAATAGAGCCCAATGAGAACATAGTATTCTGTTGCACCACAAATGGACACATTGTGCTGGCAAATCTAGGCAATGGTCAGATACAATGGATGGATAAGCTGGGCGGTGAATTATTTTCAACGCCGTGCTACATTGAGAGCCTAAGACGAGTTTATTTCGGGTGTCGGGATAACTTTTTATACTGCATGGGTACTAAAAATAACTAATGCGTTTGTCTGTAAATAAATATTTTGTTATACTTTTTACATCGATTGTAAGCAGAAATAATTCACTTTCTGTCTTAAGAACTTAACGATCGTATTGTTTTCCTTAACGAAGTGAGTATTGGCTTTTCATTCCTGATAGTGAATTCCACGCAAATCCATATCCTCATCTGGTGAGTTGCAGAAATCATTACCATGAGCTATTATCTCATCGTGTGTGCGAAAGAATCTCTCGAGTACCGGTCCGTAATGCACGATATCCGCCTGATTGCGACATTTGCTGCAGCAACTAGTCATTGACTCCGAATTCAGAATGATATCTGCTAGAGTTGGACCAGTCTCATACTCTTCACTGGATGCAACCGAAGTGTTTGACGGAGCGTTTGGTTCGGATTGGCCCGGATTTACATATTCCGCTGGAGACAGGCGCGCTTCTTCGGCAAGCCGATTGATAGCCTCTCGCATGCGATGGGTGAGACGGGGTGAGCTATAGAGAGCCGTAATGGGTCTGCTCTTCCTGCGGCTATTCGCCAGCTCCAGTCTCTGAAGCCTGCGCTCTTCTTTTAGCTCTCTGGCGCGCTCAATTTTCTTCCGACGTTCCTCTTCGAGATGAAGCATTATTGGCGTTTTTTCCTGTTCGGCGAAGTACTTCACCCACTTCTCTCTAACCTCTCTGCAGTACTCGTCATCTAGAACAAACTCATTTTTCGTGGTGGGCGAGGCAGACTTTTCTTCAGAGTTGACACTCCGATCCGGATTAGTAAAAGCGAGTTTTAGTCCACTACGTCTCTTTTCACGTGCAAATTTCTCCTTCAAGCTTTCAAACTTGTGCTCAATAAAATTCAACAAACTGGCGCCCTTGTGAGTGATATTATGGTCGCACGACATTAGAAGTACATTATAATGCTGCGGATCGTTTTCATACAGTCTCAACAGCTCTTGAGTGGACCTGGTTCTTGGCAATTCTTCTGCTACTAGCATCTTGAGCATGTTTGGAAGATCTGGGTTAAAACGCGATCTTCTCAGTCTTTTCATCTGTGCATCACAGAGCAAGTGGTGGAAACTTACTTTCCCGAGTGGCATTTGTTTAATATCCAAAACATAATTCTTAGTGTTTTGGAAAAAGCCACCCGATTTTTTAGAGCTTTTATTCAAAGCTTGATTAGTGAGCTGCGCTTGGAACGCCAATTGCAATTTGTTCAAATAAAATGTGGTGAGCTCATCCTGCATTTGGGAAAGATTACGCTTGCCCGGAAATAGCATCATCCGATTATGCTCAGTAATCAGATCCCGCCACACTTCCTCCAGCAGCTCGTCGCCCGGTCTAGGCTCATGGTAATTTTTGGTTATCATCTCAAAGGGCGCAGCCTTTTTAGCAAATAAATGGTTAATTATAACAGAGGCTGCTTTTTCCATTGAATAGAAGTCAATTTGGTCCGCAAATGCGTTAACTTTAGTGAAAGACGGCGACAGCAACATCTTTTTTCCGCTAAGTATCGAGTCATCAACATAACCTGATGAGGCTTTTACCCTTCCTTTCGTTACGTTAGAAAAGTTTCCAACACGTACCCTTCTGAACTGATTCAAATCGTATGGTCTATTTCCCGTAAATAACATAGCTTTATGTAAATTATAAGTTGTTGACCCTGCGTTTGAGGATGACCAACCACTCTGTTTTTCGTCCTCTGATCTGATATCGCTATATTCCCGACTTTCTTGGGACTTTATTTGTTTGAGTCCGGAGTTGAACATCTTTAGTAGCGGTTCGCTTCGCGGTGAATCCATACTTTCTTTGTTTCGTTTCATTCTTTTACCAGCTTTACGAATGAAGACTTGCATCATTTGAATAACATATTGCATAGCTACCATATTTTCTGTCAAAATTCTATTCAATTTTCTTTTCATTTTAACCTTAAGCGCCTTGGGATGTCTAGCATCTAGGTATCTATTATAGCCATGTATTAACTTCCTTAGACTGTGAATGTATATTCGCCCGGTCTTTGTGTTATGCGGCATAATATCAATATTTGAAGACACTGGCCCAAATTTCAGTAAGCCTTGTTGCGTCTGTTGCAATGAGTTCAAGAAATCAGCCAACCAATGTTTACAGTGCTGTATAGATTGAATTGCCTCATTACTTTTCGCATTGCGTGAGCTGGCCTCGGCTTTGGCGAAAAGTTTAAAGATGGATTTGAGCAAGACTTTCCTTCGTTTTCGGCACTCCTCCGCAAACGTTAATGCACGGCTTCTCACTGTGCTAGTGGAATGTTTATACTTAAGTGTATGAATGGAAGTAGAAACGGCCATTTTCCCGGGGTAATTTTTCAAATGCACACCAAAATTTCTATTAGAAATAATTGACTTTTATTTCAAATCAAACAAGGTATTATAATATAGATATATTTTTAATTTAAGTTGCTTTGTTGAGAGACAAAGCTGGACAGATTTTACTTCTATGTTATTTTATCTTTAATCAAAAATTGGACGTTCAAATCCAATCAAAAAGATTATATAATCAATATAAGAGAAGAAGAAACAATCCAATTTCCTAAGTTTTAGACTCAAAATTCTGTAAATATTAATGGAAATCGAATCGTTTTGCAAATACAGCTAAACCCATATTTAAAATTAGAGGAACTTGCTTAAAATAAAATGCCTTATTAGTTTAAGACTGTTTATTCCATTTGAGGCTAATTTTAGCATTACATTGCCTCCCAGAAATCGGGGTCGTAAAATTGCTGCAACCATCTTTGGTTAGAGCAAAGAATAGTTCAATGAAAATGCTTAAAAGATAATATGAATATGACTTAATAGGAATTAGAAGAAGGCATATGAAATTGGGAATTGAAAAAATATAAATATCTCCTACACTTGAGGTAGAAATAAATGATAGACCAGAAGCAACCATTTCATCTGATTTCTTAAGCGAGAGCATAAGACGCATAAGTAAATCTCTTAAACGATACCCTAAGAATCAGTGTGAAAAAACAAGATATAATTAAATAGGCTGATATATAAATAATAGTGCTAATAGAGATGGATATCATAAAAATTGATAGCTTCTGAAGGTAGTCTATTGATGACATTCATGCTATTACATTAGTACAAAGCAGAGCAAAGCTGAATAAAAAGAAAACTAAAGAGAGATTAGCTTAAGTAGTTGAAAGTGAATTAAAAACTTGCTAATATACAAAAAAAAAAAAAAAAAAAAAAAAAAAAAAAAAAAAAAAAAAAAAAACTTGCGATTAATGCCTGCATATATTCTTATCATATTTGTAACTTAGTAAATATAAATGATTGTTTTTGTTAGCATGCATAATATTTCTGAAACTTTTCAACTAAATTTAATGATGAAAGCAGCAAAATATAACAATATACTATGTTCTCTGTATTATCTTGAACTGAGTATAAGTATTGAACATTTTCAATTTGAAAGAAATTAAATAAAATTTGTATAAGTACAACATACAAAGGAGTTCTCTATGATCTTTGATCTCAACTAGGTTGGTGCTGTGGTTGCCTCTACGCATATCCTAACTTTACACACAATGTTATAAAACTATTTGCTGCGACGGGATATTTGAGCTTAGTAATTATATAGATATATATGTGTATATATAATTATGGCATGCATATCTACATAGAGGAGATACGACCAGTTTTATTTGGAAGCCTTAGCGCTTGCCTTCAAAATTGCTGCCGCTTTTGCCTTATTCTGACGCATTTGCTCCATATCACGTTCTCTTTGCGGTATTATCTCTTTGGTATGTTGTGAATTTATAGATTTCACTGGCTTTACGGCTGCTTTGAGTGTAGAAGACGATGCAGCGGGTTCTTCCGTTGTCTCTGTAGTTGCCTTTCGTCTGACGCGTTTTGGTCGAGTTGGCTGATTATTATTATCTGTTGCATCATTCACATTCGCTTCATCCGGCTCAGCTGCTTTCGTTTTCTTTGCACGTGCTCGACGTGGTGGTTTACTCGGTTTCTCTGGAGTTTCCACATCGATTTTGCCAGACATCTTATCGATTGCCGTCTGAACACGTTTGCTGACCTTCGGTTGTTGCACTCGCAGCGCACTTTTCGCCGTAAAGTAATTGCGTATGGAGCCTTGTATTTTCTTTTCATTGATTTTCTTCATGACCGGCATGAGGATATCGTCCGTTTTCGACGTAGTCCAACCAAATGATTTACGAGAAAATTCTCGTATAGATTCGACATCAGGGGAGCCCCAGCTAAAAGCGTCGCGATTGTCGTCCACCTTAGGTGTCAAATAGGCCTCCACCACAGATGAACTGGGAAAGCCCTCATGCAGCTCAATATTTTTCAGTTTCTTTAGCAGCGAAAGGCGTGCTGAGCTGCCAATTGGCAAATTGGAGCTCTTATGCGCCTGCCACCATTCTCGAAACCTTTCCAATGTCGACAACACTGACTGCATGGACACAGCAGATGATGGAGAGTTGGGCGATGAGGCAGTATTTGGAGTTGATGTGGAAAAAGATGCAAGTATTTCAAGCGCTGTCACAGCACCAATGCCATGAATGCCTGCAGAAACAAATTCATTCAATTCTTGTTGGCTGCGCCTTATTACAACTTACCTGTCGTATAATCGCTGCCAACAAGACAGGCAAGCTGTATGAGTTTCCCTCGATTGCAGTTAAAGGTTTGCTCTATCTGCTCAGCTCGAAACTCTAGGACGTGCTTATTTTGTGCAAAGAAATTCTTATATACTGTGCGCCCGCCAAACAACCAGATATCACTATCGTCCGTTATGGTACCATTCGTAATACCAACTGCATTGAGGAAGGCACACTGAGCCTCTGCTTCCATTGGCGCCACAATGTATGGGATCCCAAATAGACGCAATAGGTCTTGGCAATCGCTGCTCATGCGCTGACTGATTGACAAGCCCATGCGATCCTGACGATTGCGTTCGGCCTCTAGCTCGCGGCGTTCACCTGCCAAATTACTGGCCATTTCCTGTAATTCCTCTGCTGTCTTTTGAGATTTTAAGGCATCGGCTGCGTCCTTGAGGATTTCCTGTGTATTATACTTCAATATAGTAGAATCAATATGAAATCGGTTGATATTTCCTTACCTCGGGGTTAACTGTCTGAGTCTTCTCCTGCTGTTCATTGGCTTCATTTCCAAACAGGGATTTGGCTGCTTTGCTGGACTTTTTGTTGGGTGAGACATCATCATCGCTGGGGTCCTCGCCTGCGCGTTTTCGGCCCGATTTCGGTGTGCGCTTAACAAAGAACGGCTTTGCTACCATCGGCGATGCAGGTGGTGTAACATTTGTGCCATCTGGTTTATCGGGCGTGCGTTTGATCTTATATGTGGTTTCAAAGAAATCTGTAATAGGCTTGGTCTTGCTGGGTGTCTTATTTGGCGAAGTGCGACGCATTTCACTTTCATTATCACAAAGTTCAATAACTTCTTTAGATGCTTGAGAGGTTGTCACTTTTGCACTCTCATCATCAGAAGATAGTTCGATAACCATGCTATTGCTTATCTTTACAGATTCCAATTTAATGTTTTTAACTTCATCGGTTTGCCGCTTAAGCTCATCAAGTATGGAGCTCAATGGAGGTTTGTGCTCTTCTTTTTCCTCTGTCAGATCTAAAGTTATATTTTGAACTTCCTCTGATTGCTTTTTGAGATCAGAAAGTATTGAATTGAGCAAATGTTTTTTAGAGCTTTCTTCGACTTCCGAAACAACGAGTTTATCTTCATTAATTTTCTTTGTAGCTTCTTGTGTTTTCTCTTCTGTACTTTCACTTTCTTTTAACTGATTCGTGTCTTTAGTTTCTGTGATGACAATCTCATTTACTTTTATTGCATCCTTCAACGGGATGTCTTCATTACTGGATACACCTTTACACTTGATTTCTGCTTCTTCTGGTTCCGGTTTAATACTGGTATTTACCTTGCACTCTTCATCGAAAATGTCCGCAAAAAGATCATCGTCTTCATTCAATGCATCTTTTACATCAATTCGGATTTCAAGACTATTTCCTGCAGACACTGTCGTAGCTTCATCAACTTCTTCCAAGTCTGAATCAGTGTCGCTATCAATGGTTTGAACTGGGTCAGCCTTATCTGGGCTGTTACCCTGCACTTGTTGACTTAGCTCAATAGCCAAAGCGAGCTGTTTCGCTTCTTCAATTGAATTGTTTGCCATATCCATATTTCCTATATCATCGTTTCCATTTGGGTCTTGCAACCAACGTTCTAAGCTTTGCGTATCATTCAGTTGAGTTGCTTCCATAATGTTGCCAACTTCCTCCTCGTTCATGCCAGCATATTCAATCATATATGAGCGTGCTGGTCCCTTGGCAGCATGGCGCAAGTTTTTGCTTTGCTCGCGATTCAAACGCAAGTTCTGATCAGCATCGAACTCGTAGTCCTTGTCGTCATAGACCTTCTTGGATTCTTCCAGAGATAGGGACAATGCCAATTCCAAATCAACGTCACAATTGGCGGCCGCCTTCTTTTTGTCTACTTCGGTGGATGCTTCTGTTGAGGTGAATGCTTTCGTTGAGGTGCTCGGTTTTTCATCGATCTCTTCTTTGATGGTCTCACATTTGCCGCTCATTTCAGCGCTCTTCTCTGCCGCCATAGCCTTTTTCTTAAGATCACGAACCAATAAGAACCTGGTGTGCTCATCGGAGCTTATTTGACGTGTACTTTCAGCGATAGCTGTAGGCGTGACTATGCCCTCCTCGCTAAAGAACTCGGACAGCTCGGCATAGGTGAGAGTGTGACCACCCATCTCTTGTTGCGCCTCCTCAAGACTCTCCTGCACAGCACGTCGCTTTAACAGTCGCTTCATTTGAAAAGAGCAGAACTCATCGCTTCGTGCTGGCAGCTCATGGAGGCGACCCCAAGAAGATTGCTTGCGCGTCTCCTTGATGTCCGTAAGTATTTCATGGCGCACATCAGCTGGTAGATTCCTAAAATGCTGGCTACGCACATCAATGGCCTGCAAGCTAGCATCATATGTACGCCGGGCATTCGACTCATCAAAGGAACTATCCGATGTAGTGGTGGCCCCATCATAATTCTCACTATCAAAGTCTTCGTTAGAATCGTTGAGCTGAGCAGCGGTTGACGCTGGAAGCTCTGGCAGTTTAAAGAGATCGTCTTCATCATTTTTGCTCGATTTTTCTGCGGCTAGTCGCTTTCCGGGTGATTTCAACAGCAGCTCTGCGTTTTTACCTAATGCCTGCTGCACGACCTTCTCCTTGGCCAGCGATTGGAGCAGTAGTGCCTGAATCCGGTCGGCCTCGTTGCTCAGCTTGTTGCGTTGCTGATGGCGACGCGCCTGCAAAGAAAACAGTTAAACTACCAGGAGCAATACAACTAGCCAATAAATCACTGACAATTGTATCGCGCTTCAATTGCGGCACGCCGCCATCAAATATGAAAACCGGCCGCACGCGATAATAAAGCAATTTGCATAGCCGATGAAAGAGACCCAGGAGGTGCGCATTATTTAATGCAGATCCTTTGCTGTCCTGAAAGCCCTTCACAGCCTGATGCAACCATATGGAAATATCTATCAACATATAAAACAAAGAATTTCCATCAATAAAGTGGAGGACAATCTTATTGAATTTCACAATGTCTAAATTGCACAATGATTCCTACCAACTGCCAGCACTTTTCCCTCCAATGTCTCCACGGGCACAGGCTTTCCACAGGGCTCTATCAGCTTCCATAGGCCAGTTACACCCATTTTGTATCGAATACAACAGATTTATGGCGTACTACATGAAACAACCAACAATTTGAATTCGAGAAGTAAATGCCGATTGCTAGAGATGGACTCGTGCCAAACTTACAGGTATCCATCACGTACACGTGAAGTGAACAAAAATCACTTATAAACTGCGCACAGAAAATACTTGACAACATTCAACTTTGAATGTAATTACTGTAATAAATTTATGCCACAATCATGTCATTATCAGAATCACATCACATCATATCACCCCATTGGCGGAAAAAGTGCTGTAAAATGTGTTTCAGTAGCCACGTTCATGAGTCAGCTTATCGCGATATCTGAATAATTTGTAAAATTAATCTTTAAAACCGAATTACACCATTTTTATTCAAAGTAATTTATTATAAATATAGATTTTACAATGACTTGTCCATGGCTTTTGCAATAGTACTAAACACAATTTTTATATTCTTCTTAAGACTATTTATGTATGAACTAGACTAACTATACTAACACTAAGTATTCATATAAACCTGTAATAAAACAAGTATATTATTGAACACGCTGCCTGATTCATTCTATTATTAGGCAGCTTCTTCACTATCTGCAACTACTACCGCTGAGCTGCTACTTGCTATGGCATCTCCAGTTGAAGCGTCTTTCTTGTTGTTGGCTTTACTCTCCTTTTTGTCCTTAACCATCTTTCGGTAGACTTCCAGATCTTGGGTGAGCGATGGGACAAAGCTCTCAAAGTCCAATTCGTTTAGCGTTTGCAAGATATCCTTAGCTGTAATGGTCCTGTGATTCTGTTTGTGCGCCAGTGCAGTTGAGGACGATGTTATAAATATTGCAAAAACCGAAGCGGCTTTTGCGATTGCGGCACGCGCCTCTTTGCTCACATTGGAGCCATCGGGCAGGGCTTCCTTAATCAATCGCGCAATCACAGCGTTGGGCAGATTTAAGTCTTCAATGCGCTCGACCATATTGTACACTAATTAATTTAATGGACGAATGGATAGCAATAATGTTTGTAATCCGTACGAATGCGTCTTGTTGTTCTTTCCCGCGTTAAACACAGATGATCCAGTCAGTGCTGTATAATGCAGCACGTGTGACGAGAGTGCTGGTTATCGAATGGGTATATCGAAATATCGATGTATCGCAATAGCATCAACAATGATGATGATAGCCACAACACAAACTTTTGCGCGTTTATATATTAAGTTTGGTCGTTTGGTGCCAATAACAGCATAAATGTGCAAAACACAGTTTACAAATATATTTGAGCTGTTTTATTTTGAGCCCAGGTGATATAAAGCCTCAGGGTGTGCAATCCCAACAGTAGCGTCCACTCGCACATGGAGAATTCGACGGCGTCGCCGACGGAATCGACGACAGCGCCAAAGAAACGAAGGCATAGCGAGTATCATGATCCCGATTATAGGTTCGGTTATGAGAGCCCGCCAACCGCCAATGCGGGCGAAGAGAAGAAGCGGATTAAGATCGAGCAAGAATACCAACAGAATAATGACAACCAGAGTCAGGGGAATGAGACAATCAACACACCCCGAATCACTTTTACCGTTGACAGCGTGGCGAAACTCAAGCGTTTTGAGGAAATTGTCCGCGCGGAATTCCAAAAGGAATTGAGCACAAAGGAGCAGCAGCTGAACGAGATTGATGCACGCCTATGTCAAGCACGCCAGCTGTTGGACAAGCTGCGATACCATGTGGTCAGCGAGTACTACAAGAAGCAACAGGTGCCATTGACAGCTGCGGATGTGGCTAAGGTGCGATCTAGCGACTCATTGTTCGGTGATAGGCCTGAACGAAATGGAGCCCAATTGCCACTGCATCCGGCAATCAAGAAAATAGTTGGCAAGCGGCCAGTTCCTCTGCAGCTAAATCTACCGGAGCGCACAGCCGCAACGCTGGCCAAGGAGACGATTCGCCTACGAAATCCTGCAAACTGCCGGGCGGAACGCAGGCGACAACGGAAGATACGTGAACAGGGCATTGTTACGGATCACACCCAGGAGCAACAGAGGGAAGCCAATGCGGCCAGTCACGAGGAACGTCCCTGCACTAGTAAGCAGGCATATCAAAATCAAACGGAACTAGGCAGTCCCTCAGTATCAGCGCTGAATGCTTCGCGCTTAAACAACAAGAACAAGTTTCACTTTGTGGTAGGCAACACCTCTAAGTATCTGGGCGGCGCTGACCTGGACACTCGAAATGGTCAATCCCTTGTATACAAATGGCTTGTCTATGTTCACGGCAAAGATCTACCTCTACCGCTTGAATCGTACATAAAAAAGGTGAGTCGTGAAACGTCAATCAATGGCTTGCTATTCACTAACAGTTATTGTCTTAGGTGCGATTCCAACTGCATCACTCATACCGGCCCAACGATATTGTGGACGTTCATGCGCCACCTTTTCACCTGACACGTCGTGGCTGGGGCGAGTTCCCCATGCGCATTCAGCTTTATTTCCAAGACCATCTGCAGCAGAAACCCGTTCAGCTGATACACAACATTGTGCTGGACAAGACCATGTGCGGCCTACACACGATGGGCAGCGAAACAACTGTAGAGGTTTGGCTGCGTGCCGATGTGCCTGCAACAGTTCCCATTACGCCACCGCCAAAACCTATTAAGAAGGAGCCAGCCACAACACCCGCATCGACAAATGCACTCCTGTCACCCGATAACAATTCCAAACCGCGCACCATTTCCATAACGCAGAACAAGGAGGAGCTGGATGATAATCTATTTGCCGGCATCAACAAGATCGAGCTGAGCGACGACATTGAGCATATCGAGCCGACGGTGCTTGTCTCGGAGGATTTAAAGTTGAGCAGCCCAAAAAAGAAACAAGTGCCTGCAGCCGCAACTCCGAATAAAAGCCCACTCTCCCGCAATCCCATTGAAGCTGCGTCTGCTGTGAGTTTCAGTCTACCCGCAACTCGTCCCGCCATAATTGGAAACAGCAAAAAGCCAACAGCAATGCTTGCACAACTGCGCAAAGGCAATACCAAAAACGTAGTCTTCCAAAAAGAAGGCAAACTATATATAATCGATCCGCTGCAAACGAAGATAAAGCAGGCTGCCAAGCAGCAGTCGCTGCTCAAGCCTCAGCTCAGTTTGCTCAAGCAGCCAAGTCAGCAGTTATCCAAGCGATGGCACTTCCTGCAGTGCATCCAAAACGATCATGGCTACGCCAATATGAGCAGCAATGAGGTGCCTCCAGCGCCGGCAGTATTGAGCCAGCGCCTGACGCTCGAACAGCTCTTTGGCAGCATTCCCTTCCAGAGCATGCGAAGTGCTGTGGAGTTTTTGCTACGACGGCTGCCATTGGCAAACGAATTGGGCAAAAGCATCTTCAATGGCAATGGCGATGAATTTCCCTTTAGTACTCAGACACTGGCAGCATTCCAGGCACAGCCCGCTTTGCGTCAACGGTTCTTCGAATTTGTGCGCGGGCGCACGTTATTACGCTACATGCGTCAGCATCCACAACTGCAAGATCTGCACACCAGCGGAAAGGAATCCTTTTGGAGTACGCGAGAGATTGTGGCATTCGCACGTCTGCATGGATACACGCCGCCTCTAAAGATGCTCTGCGTTACTAGACAAAAGCCAGCGTCGACGGCGTTGCCACTATCGGAGCGAGTGCAACAGCAGCTGCAGGAGGATCCTCAGGCACAGCTGTTGGAATACTGCACGCTCACCTCGAAATCCAACTTGGATAACTGGCTAACAAAACGGATCGAACGATTACAAGGTCGCGATCAGAGATTAGAGGACGAGGAGCCAGTCGATGTGATCAATATGTTGCCATCCAGCTCAGTGATTCGACAACCTGCAAACGCATTCGACACTACCCAAAACCAACATTTGCTATATTTACCGCCGCCCGAGGAACTGGATGCTGCCACGCAGCTAGTGCGAGACATGTGCAAAGATGTTGGCATCATCCTGCATCCAGAGCAAAGCGTTCCCGGCGTTTCCCAGTCCCTGTCCCTCACGCTCTTGGCCCACGTGCTTCGAATGTTCATAGAAAGGTTGGTCCGTCGATCCGCTGCAACCAAGCTGCTGCAGCAGCAACAGCCGAATGCAATCGAGTCGCTGCCACCGCCGGCGGCTAATCTGGAAATGACACTGCTACCTCACGACATCGGACGTCTAATCGCAAAGAGTTCGGAGTTTGATTTTCTCTGCAACTCTTATCTTGGCATTGATCACAAGGACTCGCAGTCCGATTCGTAATGTGCCCAATGCTTACATTGATGCCCCTTGCGATTTCTCTAGTTCAAAATCCTCTGGGATACTAGCTGTAGATGAATAAGTTATTTTTTTTAAATATACGTATGTTATGTATTTAATAAATTTACTATACATTTTTTATAAATTCGTTTGGAGTATTCTTGGGGCACGAATTATTGAAATTTATATGAGTGTTTTTATCAAAGAAAGATTTTTATATTTTTAATCAGTTGATTCGTAAATTATCGCCCAAACACAATCAGATATTTTGGCGAATATCGCCAGAATAATAATAAAAAAAATAATTTCTGAATAGAAAACTTGGCAACACATGTATTTTATCCTATTCCAAAAAGGCATGTAACTTAATATAAAATGTCGAATTGATAGAATGGCTAGATAATCTGTTTATTAAAATAGCAAGTATAACAGCGCAAATTCGTGTCGGACAACATGCGATAAAATCATTTATAATTTATTGCTGTTTAATTATTCGGCAAAAGCTAGCAAAAAGCTTGTTCTAAACATACAAATAATTAAAATAATAAATAAACAGTTAATTACCACAATGAACTACGGGGAAAGGTAACACCCAAAATCGATAATTTGAGGCATGTATTCCTCCTGCATCCCGCACTATATACATAAAAGTCAAATCAGTGAGTCGTGTTTTAAGTAAATATACATTTATTTTGTTTAAATGTTTTCTATTTGTTTTTCATTTGATTTGCTTTTCAACAATGTATATATTCCGCTAAGGTTTATTTTTTAACACACACAATGTTATTGCAGTTTTTATTGTTGTTATAGTGTTCTCTATCAAAACGCTATACATATAATTAAGGTAAATAGTTTAGAACAGCTATGTAATGATTATATTAACTTAAATGTTTATGTAATTAAAAAATATAGAAAAATTCATTTGCTTACGCAGGAAACTATGAACAAAATTCTTACTTTCATTTTTTTCCATTTGCTTGTTTGTAATACTTGACATAATGCAACTAAAAATTGTAAATTGGTGTCTCTTATGTATAGATATATTTCTCATGAGTGTAGAATCACAGCCTTTTCACGAACATTGAACATTGCTGTTCGGTTATGTTTGAATTGTCCAGTATTTAAAGATTTCGTCTATTCTATACATATGATATATATATAAATATATGCATATATATAGTATAGTACATACATATGTGTAATCTATGCCTTATTAATCCAATGGCATTATATGCGTACACATGATTCCATAGGATATTATGTTAATCAGTTGAGTTTAATTAGAGTTCCGTTGCAAGTGTTAGGATTGCGCTAGGCTAGGTGGCTAAGTGCACTAAATACGCATAGGCAAATACATACATACATTAACTTCCTACTTATATACAAATAAATATTAATTGATGAAGACATACATATAATTGTTGCTGAATTATAAGGCGAAAATTCGAACTAAAACGTCTAATTCATTACGCTCTCTAATGGGGATTATGTGGGTAACTCATTTACATTCTATTTAAATTGCTTCTAAATGTATCTATGATAAACGAAATAGTTAGAGCTAGTCTATTTAACTGCAGAATACAAATTATGCTAATCGGTGTCGAAAGGCCACATATTAAAACTAAAAGTACATTTGTTATAGTTATAGGGTTCTGAACGGTTGGTTTGTTTGCTTTTGCTTGAATGTCGCGGCTGAAAGTTTCGCCGTTTGGCACTGGATCAGGTAATCGTATTTATAATCTGATTCTTAGACCCATAATCGGCGATTCTGCAAGAGATCGAACATTAGATATTATTATACTTGGGTGGATAAAGAG